GGGTATTGTTATGGCTGGTGCATTGATATTGAGTGCTTCAATATATACTGTACGTCTCTGCACCAAAATCCAAATTATTGATGAATGTACTCAAAGATTTGTGATCACCTTGGTGCATTATAAGTTAATGTCCTATTTATTGTCCCAGGAACTTCAGGCCTCAGCATACTGGAATTATTCACGCTCTGATGGCCAGAGGGCAGACATTAGGACTAGTCTATATACAATACTAAAGTGGTATGAGGCTTACAAAATGCCACGTGTATTATCAAGGACAACTAAAAGGAAGTTTCACTTTCATACGGCAGCCATTTTCCAACGTACTGTACAACAAACATTTATTTTCTTTTATAAAATGCTCCAGCAGGTGTTGCTTATGCAAATATCTAATTGTTAAACTCTGACTTCCCAGTTGTGTAATCTGAAGCATTTTTTATATTACTCTGCTCAAAAAAATTAAAGGAACCCTTTGAAAATACATCAGATCTCAATGGGGAAAAATCTCATTCTGGATATCTATACTGACATGGACTGGGTAATGTGTTAGGAACATAAGGATCCCCCTTCGTTTGATGGAAATGAAAATTATCAACCTACAGAGGACTGAATTCAAAGACACCCCGAAAATCAAAGTGAAAAAATGATGCAGCAGGCGAGTCCATTTTGCTGAGATTTCATTGCAGCAACTCAAAATGGTCCTCAGTAGTTTGTATGGCCCCCAAGAGCTTATATGCATACCTGACAATGTTGGGGCATGCTCCTAATGAGATGACGGATGGTGTCCTAAGGTATTTCCTCCCAAATCTAGATTAGGGCATCACTGAGCTCCTGGACAGTCTGAGGTGCATCCTGGCGGCCTTGGATGGACCGAATATGATATCTCAGAGGTGTTCTATTGGATTTAGGTTAGGTGAGCCACAAGAGGCTGGGCATTGTCATGCGTCAGGAAGAGCCCAGGACCCACTACACCACCGTAGGGTCTGACAATGGGTCCAAGGATTTCATCCCAATACCTAATGACAGTCAGGGTGCCATTGTCTAGCCTGTAGAGGTCTGTGCGTCCCTCCATGGATATGCCTCCCCAGACCATCACTGACCCACCACCAAAACGGTCATGCTGAGCGATGTTACAGGCAGCATAATGTTCTCCATGGTTTTTCTCCAGACCCTTTCATGTCTGCCACATGTGCTCAGGGTGAACCTGCTCTCATCTGAGAAAAGCACAGGGCTCCAGTGGTGGACCTGCCAATGCTGGTGTTCAATGGCAAATGCCAATCAAGCTCTATGGTGCTGGGCAGTGAACACAGGTCCCAGTAGAGGGCCCTCAAGCCACCCTCATGAAGTCTGTTTCTAATTGTTTGGTCAGAGACATTCACACCAGTGGCCTGCTGGAGGTCATTTTGTAGGGCTCTGGCAGTGCTCATCCTATTCCTCCTTGCACAAAGGAGCAGATACCAGTCCTGCTGATGGGTTCCTTTTATGGCCCTGTCCAGTTCTAGAGTAACTGCCTGTCTCCTGGAATCTCTTCCATGCTCTTGAGACTGTGCTGGGAGACACCACAAACCTTCTGGCAATGGCACGTATTGATGTGCCATCCTGGAGGAGTTGGACTGCCTGTGCAACCACTGTAGGGTCCAGATATTGCCTCATGCTACCAATAGTGACACTGACCCTAGCCAAATGCAAAACTAGTGAAAAACAGTCAGAAACGATGAGTAGGGAAAAAATTATCAATGGCCTCCACCTGTAAATCCATTCCTGTTTTGGGGGTCATGTCATTGATGCCCATCTAGTGCACCTGTTGCTAATTTAATTAACACCAAAGCAGCTGAAACTGATTAACAATCGCCTCTGCTACTTACCTGACCAGATCAATATCCCAGGAGTTTCACTGACTTCATGCTATACTCTTATTAAAAAGAGTTCCTTTAATTTTTTTGAGCAGTGTATACAGTATACTTCTAACTGACCCTCATTTGGAACAAAATTGCTCTGTCAATCTTTCCATCTTAGTTGTCCCTCTTTTTGGCCTGCTGTATAGATCTCTACTGTATAAAAATGTGTAATTTTGAGAGGGACTGCACTAACCCCCTGATTTCTTTAAATACCTTCTTACAATTGTAAAATAATATACACTCACAAACCCAGAGAATCCATGTTGGTCGGCTGTCTCTTCTGGGTTCTACTAGCCCCCCCCCCCATATGACATATGCCAGCTCCAATGGAGTCACTAGGGCTGGTGTCAACTGATACGGTAAAATATGGTGTCTCCCCCCCATAATTTTAAAATTCCCCTTTTAAAACTACCCCACAACCCCCCCCCCCCCCCCCCCAATATTAATTAGCTCACACATCCTCCTCTGTTACATATAATAACCTCCCCAATTATAATTACCCTGCAACTTCCCTTCCCCCACTATAAATACCCTGGAACCCCCCCCCCGTCAGACGACCCCCTCTGTCAGCTCTGTAGCATGCGGTTCTCAGCATTCAAACCCTCAGATCAACCACCTGAGGCCTAAGGCAGTAGATGCCTAGGAGGGCAACATGCCTTCTCCCAGGCTGGACAAATCCTGGGCAGGAAACACCCAGAGCTCAGTGTGCTTTCTGAATATATACAGTTACCCAGCATGCCTCTGGGCCCAGCTCTCTGGGATAGGCTGGAGCCGCATCAATATTTATGCTGGCATCTGCATAGCTCCACACCTACCATCCAGAAACTTCTCGAGCCTTCCAGATGCAGAGGTTTCTATGCCAGCCTGCCAGCAGCAAAGCACACTGACCAGACCTAACTAGCAAAATTAGGCACCACTGACACAGTACGCCAAATGTGCTTTTACCTACCGAAACAGAACTACAACTAGCTAACCAATCAAGCACCTATCTAGGATGGTGCTATACATGCTATTCTGAAAAGACAGTATAAGGTAAAATGAGTGAAAAAAACCTCATTGATAGGTTTAATATATCTAATAAGCAAGGAAGCTTTTCGCATACAGTTGCAAGAAAAAGTATGTGAACCACTTGGGATTACGTGGAGTTTTGCATGAATTGGGCATAAAATGTGCTCTGAACGTCATCTAAGTCACAACAATAGAACACAGTCTGCTGAACATAATACTACACAAACATTAGATGTTGCCATGGTTTAATTGCACATAACATGTAAACATTCACAGTGCAGGGAGGAAAAAGTATGTGAGGCCCTAGCTTAATGACTTCTCCCAGAGCTAATTGGAGCCAGGAGTGAGCCAACCTTGACTCCAATCAGTGTGATGATAGTGGATGTGTTGCTGACAGCTGTCCTGCCCTTAAAAAAACACACACCTGTTTTGGGTTTACTGGTTTAAAGAAGCACTGTCTGATGTGAACCATGCCTCGCAGAAAAGAGCTCTCAGAAGACCTACGATCAAGAATTGTTGACTTGCATGAAGCTGGAAAGGGTTACAAAAGTATCTCCAAAAGCCTTGATGTTCATGTGTCCACGGTAAGACAGACTGTCTACAAATGGAGAAAGTTTAGCACTGTTGCTACTCTCCCTAGGCGTGGTCGTCCTGTAAAAATGACTGCAAGAGCACAGCGCAGAATGCTGCATGAGGTAAAGAAGAATCCCAGAGTGTCAGCTAAAGACCTACAGAAATCTCTGGCACATGCTAACATTTTTGTTGACACATCTACAATAAGGAAAACATTAAACAAGAATGGAGTACATGGAAGGACACCACGGAGGAAGCCATTGCTGTCCAAAAAGAATATTGCAGCACGTTTGAAGTTTTCAAAAGAGCACCTGGATGTTCCACAGCACTACTGGCAAAATATACTGTGAACAGATGAAACCAAGATTGAGTTGTTTGGGAAGAACACACAACACTATGTGTGGAGAAAAAAAGGCACAGCACACCAACATCAAAACCTCATCCCCACTGTAAAACATGGCGGAGGGAGCATCATGGTTTGGGGCTGCTTTGCTGCCTCAGGGCCTGGACGGATTGTTGTCACTGATGGGAAAATGAATTCCAGAGTTTATCAAGACATTTTGCAGGAAAACGTACGACCATCTGTCCGCCAACTGAAGCTCCGCAGAGGATGTGGGATGCAACAGGACAATGACCCAAAGCATACAAGTAATTCAACAAAACAATGGCTGCAACAGCACAGAATATGCCTTCTGGAGTGGCCCAGTCAGAGTCCTGACCTCAACCCGATTGAAATGCTGTGGCATGACCTTAAGAGAGCGATTCACACCAGACATCCCAAGAATATTGCTACACTGAAACAGTTTTGTGAAGAGGAGTGGTCCAAAATGACTCCAGATCGTTGTGCAGGTCTGATCTGCAACTACAGGAAATGTTTGGTTGAGGTTATTGCTGCCAAAGGAGGGTCAACCAGTTATTAACTCCAAAGGTTCACATACGTTTTTCTCCCTGCACTGTGAATGTTTACATGTTATGTGCAATTAAACCATGGCAACATCTAATGTTTGTGTAGTATTATGTTCAGCAGACTGTGTTCTTCTATTGTTGCGACTTAGATGACGTTCAGAGGACATTTTATGCCCAATTCATGCAAAACTCCACGTAATCCCAAGGGGTTCACATACTTTTTCTTGCAACTGTAGTTTGAAGTGAATAGAGGGAAGCACCTACACAAGTTTCTGTTTGAAATAGTGTCAGGGCTCTTCCATGTGGACACCTAAAAATGACACGTTTTTAGGCATTTAGGCATTTTTTTTACTGATCTAAAGGCAGCCTTATACGCACAAACTTGTGCTCTGTATAGATTAGTAAAAGAAAAAAATATGCGTCACTGACCAGTTTTTTTTTGCACATATGCAGCTATACACACAAATATGCTCGAACATCATGCTCAAAGAAAAAACTGAATTTTTACGCGTCTGTATGCGTACTAGCAAAAACGTGAGAATATGCGCATTTACTATACAGTACACTTGCGTTTTTATGACACAAACTTGTTAAATTGACTTTCTTGAAAAATTTTACAATAATAATTTAAGATATTTTTTGCTAAAACTTTACATTTTTCTCCATTCTTTAATTCTCAGAAATAACGACTTAGAGGCTAATTGTTCCAATCTTGGCCTGAACCCCCCTAAAGCACGGAAGACAGGGACCACCATCGCGGGGCTCATCTTTAGGGTAGGAGGTTAAAGATGTACTGTCAAAAAATGGTTTTACTTTCAGAGCTGACTCATTTTTTTTCTATTCAGGATGGAGTCATTCTGGGGGCGGACAGGAGGGCCACCGATGACATGGTGGTGGCAGATAAGAACTGTGCCAAGATTCATTACATCACTGACAATATATAGTAAGAATTATGATGTAATTTTGTTACTTTTATTATGTGTGAAATAATGAAAAGCTTGATTATACATTTTGGGTGGAATAGACCCGGATTTGATCCTCTGACCTTTATTGCACTTTGTCATGCCTGCTCATTGGTTCCTCATTGCCTTCAATGGGGGGCACCTTCTGGAGATGCTTGATAGAAAGCCCCATAGAAATTTACAAGAACCCAGGTGTGGTCAGCAGCATGGAGGATGTCAGCCACAGGGTAACATTGCAGAAGGCTTTAGTTATCAGCCTCAGATAAGTATACATTTCTGTAGGGGGAGAACAGGGCCGGGGCAAGGGGTGGGCAAAAGGGGCAGCTGCCCTGGGCACAATGGATTACTGTAGTAATGGGGGTGCCCTCCTTCTGTTATAAGGCTGACAGAAGTAGTGACAGCGGCAGTAATTTTGAAAGCAAGTGACTGCTGGGTGTATGTTCCTCTAAGCTTGCACAACATGAATGGGGGTGGGGCGCAGTTTGGCATCTTTGCCCTGGGTGAAATTGACCCGACATTGGGGGGGATACTTTAGATCAGAGGCGCTAGGCAGGCTAGGTAAGCGTACTTCTGAAAATACCCTTATCCTTGCATAAATTGGTATATTCCAAGCCAACATTTTTTAGTTCTGGATCAGGGGCGGACTGACCATTCGAGCACTCGGGCACTGTTTGAGGGCCCGGGGTCAGTAGGGGGCCCCATGAGATGCCTCTGGTACCTTTCATTGGCTTTTTCATAGGCTTTTTTGGGTGTGGGCAAGGACACAGGGGCCCCATGACCCTCTATTGCCCGGGGGCCCCATGATTTGTCAGTCAGCCCCTGTTCTGGATACAGAAAGGAATAGTTAAATCCTTGGTCAAGTTTTTTTTTGTTGCCATCTCTGCCCCATTCTAGAATCTCTGTGGCAGGGACACAGCAAGATAGCCCCACCCCATTCTCTACTCTTTAAAAAAAAAAAAAAAAAAAAAAAGCTTTTAGATAAACTTTACTGATTGGACTATGTGTTTTAGCAGGGCTGTTGATAAGGCAGTACAGCTGGCCCTCCTATACTGGGCCCAGGCCCCATCAGTTCCAAAGGAGGGCCCAGGCACCTGCCAAGCACTGTACTGCCTTGTGACTCTTGTGGATCTCACTGCGTCGCTGCCAGATTTCTTCCTGCAGGGGATCGATTCTAGTATTTGCACCCCATTCCACCCACTATCCGGGCCCCCATGTGTGCCCCCCTCCCCCACAGTGCTGCCGGCTTCCCTCATCTCCAGTCAGCAGCTGGGGACTGTTCCAGGATGGAAATAAATTCCTGAATGAACACAGTGAGTGATCAGTATTGATCGCTCATGTGTCCATTCAACACTGAAGCATAGTAAACTGTGTTCACTAAGCTTCCATTTGTGAATGAACAGGAAGCCACTGAGCACAGAATACTTCCAATTCATTCACTGTCCAGTGCAGCCAAGGCTGTAGAGAAAGGGACTGATAAATCTATGTCCTCAGTCCCTTGATGGGAGACATCAGGGGTCTGTGTAGACCCCTGATATTTCACCAAGCCCCCTCCCCTCCCAAACAGGGCAGTTAAAAAAATGTAAAATAACTAAAAATAAAATAAGATTCTAAAAAAAATGTAAAGAAAAATTAAAATTCTGAAATTTTTTTTTTTTTAAATATTTTTAAAAATTGCACGCGGTTAGGGGGCTCTTGTAGAGCACCACTATTCACTTAAATGGTTCTTGTTTAATTATGGTAATATTTCTGCCATGGATGCAAAGCATAACATCTTGGTCGAGGCATTTTAGCCCTGTACAGTCCCTCGTGATTTCTAAGAGCAGCTCTGGTGCTTAGCAAATTTGCCAACATATTCATCCCAGTTCCTGACCGATGGTCCTGCCCATGACCACTTTCCCAGATGGTCCCATCATGATCATGCACACTTTCTAGGAGGTCCTGTCCCCAGTTATGTGGGAATCACCCACTTTCAGGCACTATCCTCTCAGTTAATACCCTTTTTGAGTTGCAGTGCATGTTAAGGAACTCAAATAAGAATGATGATGCTGTGATCTTGGAACACAGCCCTGGACAGAGCACCTAGATGTGGAACTGTCCTGGCAGATTTGGGACAGGTGTCTTGTATACTTTATAACAGGGCTTTCTGAAAGTTCTGAACAAAGGTCTAATTTACCGTCCTTCAGACTTTAGGGGGGAACTGTATCATGGCCAGTGGGAGTAGAAAATGTCTGAATGTCTGAGAGTACACAATGCCTAATTTTTGGTGTCAATCTGAAGAATAGTGCCCTATCATGGTGACAGTGGGAGGAATAGTACCCCATTATTGGTGTCAGTGAGAGGAATAGTGCTCCATTATTGGTGTCAGTGGGAGGAATAGTGCTCCATTGTTGGTGTCAGTGGGAAGAATAGTGCCCCATTGTTAGTGTCAGCGGAAAGAATAGTGTCCCATCATTGGTATTAGTGGGAGGAATAGTGCCCCATTGTTAGTGTCAGTGGAAGGAATAATGTCCCATCATTGGTATTAGTGGGAGGAATAGTGCCCCATCATTGGCATCAGTGGGAGGAATAGTGCCCCACCATTGGTATCAGTGGAAGGAATAGTGCCCCATTGTTAGTGTCAGTGGAAGGAATAGTGTCCCATCATTGGTATTAGTGGGAGGAATAGTGCCCCATTGTTAGTGTCAGTGGAAGGAATAATGTCCCATCATCGGTATCAGTGGGAGGAATAGCGTCCCATTATTGGTGTCAGTGGGAGAAATAGTGTTTCATCAATGGTCTCAATGGGAGGAATAGTTTCCCGTCATTGGTGCAGGAGGAATTGTACCCCATTGATACTGTCATTGGGAAGAATGGTGCCACATGTTGGTGTTAGTGGCCAGAATTATGCCCCATTGTTGGTATCAATGAATGGAGAAGTACCCCATAGGTAAGCAGAGGACTGCAGTTTGGAGACCACTGTTTTAGTAGGTAGGGGTTTTCTTTCACTATTTCATTTGCTCTTCTTGTGCTTGCAGTTGTTGTGGAGCTGGAGTAGCTGCTGATGCAGAATACGTGACCCAGCTTCTATCCTCCAACATGAACCTCCACGCACTCTCCACCGGGCGTCAGGTGCGTGTGTGCTCAGCTAACAGGATGCTGAAACAGCTGCTGTACAGGTAGGACACCAGCAGAAGGGGAAGAGTATACAATTTAAAATAGCCCTCATTGTTACATTTCTAAAGGGAAGCTGTAATGGTTTGGGGGTTAATATTGTTTTTTTTTTACATTGTTTTTATGTTGAGGTTTAATACTATTTTTTTTGTGTTTGTTTTTTTTTTTCATTTACAATCTTTGTTTTACCAATAAACATTAAATACAAGGTGTACCAATGACAACAGATTCCCAGCGCACTGTGGATTTTCAAGCAGAAAATAGGTGTTCAAGAGAATTACAGTAAAGTTGTTTTTTTATTTTGTTTAGAAAAAAATATACAATATTACATATTTGCCTAAAAATGTATACATAAATTTATTGTATATATAAATTGCCCTCCTAACTACAATAAATAGATTTATATATGCAAAACTACCGTTCATTGTTTTGAGCACACAGAAAAATTGGATTTAATACAATTCCCTGTTGTGAAGTGACTTACATTGGTACCCTTTCCTCTTCCCTATCTTTTTTTCTTTTTTTCCTCCACACAAATCTTTGATTCTCCTCTTTCTTTACCGCAAGGATCTATTCATGCAATGCACATGTGCACTGCCTTAAGGCAGCCCATTTACTTATTTGGGCTGCCAACACACCAAAATGGACCAATTATTGAATATGACCCTTTTTTCTGATGCACCGCAGGGCTCCACAATGTACTGCAATGCATTGAAGTGCAGCAGGTGTGCTAACATATGTTAACTCAAGGAATACGTGTAAATGGGCTCATAATATTCTTAGAGGGGGCCGGCTCCTCTATTTCACTACCTTCTTTTTTTTCTTCTTGCACCTCCTAATAACCCCTTCTGTGGTCTCACATACAGTTGTGTTCAAAATAATAGCAGTGTGTTGAAAAAAGTGAATAAAGCTCAAAATCCTTCTAATAGCTTTTATTTCCATGCACACAAATGCATTGGGAACACTACACATTCTATTCCAAATCAAAACATGAAGAAAAATAGATCAAATTTGTGTTGTTCCTCTAAAAAAATTGAAGAAAAGTGAATATTAAACTGTTCAAAAAAATAGCAGTGTTTGTATTCTTCTTTACAAACTCAAACATTCACTATATAAACTGAAAAAACGTTTGAAGATTTTGCTTTCCTTTGAATCACTTAATGAATATTTAGTTGTATAAGCACTGTTTCTGAGAACTGCTGTACATCTGTGTTGCATGGAGTCACCCAACTTCTGGCCCCTGTGAACAGGTATTCCAGCCCAGGATGATTGGACTACATTCCACAGTTCTTCTCTATTTCTTGGTTTTGCCTCAGAAACGGCATTTTTGATGTCACCCCACAAGTTTTCTATTGGATTAAGATCCGGGGATTGGGCTGGCCACTCCATAACGTCAATCTTGTTGGTCTGGAACCAAGATGTTGCACCTTTACTGGTGTGTTTGGGGTCGTTGTCTTGTTGGAACACCCATTTCAAGGGCATTTCCTCTTCAGCATAAGGCAGCATGACCTCTTCAAGTATTCTGATGTATTCAAACTGATCCATGATCCCTGGTATGCGATAAATAGGCCCAACACCGTAGTATGAGAAACATCCCCATATCATGATGCTTGCACCACCATGCTTCACTGTCTTCACAGTGTACTGTGGCTTGAATTCAGTGTTTGGGGGTCGTCTGACAAACTGTCTCCGGCCACTTGACCCAAAAAGAACAATCTTACTTTCATCAGTCCACAAAATGTTGCGCCATTTCTCTTTAGGCCAGTCAATGTGCTCTTTGGCAAATTGTAACCTCTTCAGCACGTCTTTTTTTTCAGCAGTGGGACTTTGCGGAGTCTTCTTGCAGATAGCTTGGCTTCACATAGGCGTCTTCTAATTGTAACAGTACTCACAGGTAACTTTACACCTTCTTTCATCTTCCTGGAGCTGATTGTTGGCTGAGTCCTTGCCATTTTGGCTATTCTTCTATCCATTCGAATGGTAGTTTTTCGCTTTCTTCCACGTCTTTCAGGTTTTGGTTGCCATTTTAAAGCATTTACAATCATTTTAGCTGAGCAGCCTATCATTTTCTGCACTTCTTTATATGTTTTCCCCTCTCCATTCAACTTTTTAATCGAGGTATGCTGTTCTTCTGAACAACGTCTGGAACGACCCATTTTCCTCAGAATTTCAGAGAGAAATGCACTGTAACCAGCATGTACAACATTTGCTGCCTTCCTTCCTTAAATAAGGGCAATAATTGGCACCTGTTTTTCAAAGAATGAATGACCTCACTAATCGAACTCCACACTGCTATTATTTTGAACATGCCCCTTTCAATGAGTGATTCAATTACACAGAATCAGCAGCATGCATGTCATGACTGTTGGGTCTGTTGGATTTCTATTACTCTACTACACCTGCTAGTAAATTATTTGCCATGTAGAAATATCATTTCCACCAAAAACAGTGATTGATCAGGTTAGTGATGTCTGACTGCTATTATTTTGAACACAACTGTAAGTGGGTCTTTATCCATGGGACTGCATATATGCATACCTGTGTTTGTGCTGGGGATGCTCACAGTACTAACAATTGGAAACCGTAAGGTCATGTTCCCAATCACCTGATAGCCTTTGATTGGCTTTCACAGGGATTATTCACTGTACAGCCCACCCCTGTGTTGTTTTCTCCTCTTGAATGGAGATAAAAATACAAAGTATCTTTTTCTCCTTGCTAGAGGAAAAACAAGAAGAAAGAAAGAAAGAAAGAAAGAAAGAAAGAAAGAGACTAGATCAAGGAAGGCCAGGATCTCAATCACCTGATTGGCTATCACAGTGATCATTCACTGTACAGCCCACCCCTTGTTTTCTTTTCTTGAATGGAGAAAAAGATACTTTGTATCTTTTTCTCCTTGCTAGAGGAAAAAGGTGTAAACAAAGAAGTGTATGTAAGAAAAAAAAATACCTAGATCAGGGGAGGTCAGGATCTCAATCACCTGATCAGGATAGCCTCTGATTGGCTATCACAGTGGTCAGTCACTGTTTAGCCCACTCCTGTGTTGTTTTCTCCTCTTGAATGGTGACAAAAGATGCTTTGTATCTTTTTCTCCTTGTTAGAGGAAAAAGTGTAAACAAAGAAGTGTATGTATAAAAAAAATATTATTAAATTAAAAAAAAAACCTAGATCAGGGGAAGCTAGCATCTCAATCATCTAATCAGCATAGCCTCTGATTGGCTATCACAGTGATCATTCACTGTACAGCCCACCCCCTTGTTTTCTCCTCTTGAATGGAGAAAAAGATACTTTGTATCTTTTTCTCCTTGCTAGAGGAAAAAAATGTAAACAAAGAAGTGTTTGAAATAAATACATAAATAAATAATATTAAAAAAATAATATTAAATAAAGAAAAAATACCTAGATCAGGGGAGGCCAGGATCTCAATCACATGATCAGGATAGCCTCTGATTGGCTATCACAGTGGTCAGTCACTATTTAGCCTACTCCTGTGTTGTTTTCTCCTCTTGAATGGAGACAAAGATACTTTGTATCTTTTCCTTCTTGTTAGAGGAAAAAGTGTAAACAAAGAAGTGTATGTAAGAAAAAAAATATTATATAAAAAAACCTTGATCAGGGGAAGCGAGAATCGTAATCACCTGTTCAGCATAGCCTCTGATTGGCTATCACAGTGATCATTCACTGTACAGCCCACCCCCTTGTTTTTTCCTCTTGAATGGAGAAAAATACACTTTGTATCTTTTTCTCCTAGCTAGAAGGAAAAAGTGTAAACAAAAAAGTGTGTGAAAAAATAAATAAATAATAATTACAAATAAAGAAACATACCTACAGCCTACCTACCTGTGGGTTAAGGTCAAAGGTCAGGGACATTGTATTTTAGGTAGGATAAAAAAAGCATTTTTTTTCAATTAGTGTCAGTGTGTTTTAGGTAAGATAAAAAAGCAAATTGCGCACTATTGTTTCCGGGCCCTACTACAGGTACAAACAACAAAAAACATACACATATCTGTTATCGCTCTGATTGCCAAGAGCCGGATAATTTATTTTGGGTTGTCAGATGGCAGTAGCTTATGGTAATTGGAAGAAATATATAGCAAAATTTTAAACAATGTGTTTTTTTTTCTATTTTGTGGCAGTTTTTTTTTTATACTAAGAAAATCAGGAGATATCTATTTTTATTTACCAAATGAAAATGAAAGCCCAATTTGTCCTGAAAAAAAATGGGGTATAATTCACCTGGATACACTAAGTCAGTGGTGGGCAACCTTTTTTTTCAACTGAGCCAAATCTCACCAAAACCACAATTGAAATTTATTTTGAGAGCCACATTTTTAAAACTGAAAATACATCCCCCATATAGTAATTCATCCCCCATAGTAATTCATCCCTCATATAGTAATTCATCCCCCATAGTAATTCATCCCCCATAGTAATTCATGCCCCCTATAGTAATTAATCCCCCATATAGTAATTCATCCCCCATATAGTAATTCATCCCTCATATAGTAATTCATCCCTATAGTAATTAATCCCCCATATAGTAATTCATCCCCCATATAGTAATTCATCCCCATATAGTAATTAATCCCCCATAGTAATTCATCCCCCCTATAGTAATTAATCCCCCCTATAGTAATTCATCCCCCATATAGTAATTCATCCCCCATATAGTAATTCATCCCCCCTATAGTAATTCATCCCCCATAGTAACTCATCCCCCATATAGTAATTCATCCCCCATATAGTAATTCATCCCCATAGTAATTCATCCCCCATATAGTAATTCATCCCCCATAGTAATTCATCCCCCATATAGTAATTCATCCCCCTTATAGTAATTCATCCCCATAGTAATTCAATCCCCCATATAGTAATTCATCCCCCATAGTAATTCATCCCCCATATAGTAATTCATCCCCATAGTAATTCATCCCCCATATAGTAATTCATCCCCCATATAGTAATTCATCCCCCATAGTAATTCATCCCCCATATAGTAATTCATCCCCCATAGTAATTAATCCCCCATATAGTAATTCATCCCCCATATAGTAATTCATCCCCCATAGTAATTAATCCCCCATATAGTAATTCATCCCCCATATAGTAATTCATCCCCCATAGTAATTCATCCCCCATATAGTAATTCATCCCCCCTATAGTAATTCATTCCCCATATAGTAATTCATCCCCCATATAGTAATTCATCCCCCATATAGTAATTCATCCCCCATATAGTAATTCATCCCCCATAGTATTTCATCCCCCTATAGTAATTAATCCCCCATATAGTAATTCATCCCCCATATAGTAATTCATCCCCCATATAGTAATTCATCCCTATAGTAATTCATCCCCCATATAGTAATTCATCCCCCATATAGTAATTCATCCCCATATAGTAATTCATCCCCCATAGTAATTCATCCCCCCTATAGTAATTCATCCCCCATATAGTAATTCATCCCCCATAGTAATTCATCCCCCATATAGTAATTCATCCCCCATATAGTAATTCATCCCCCATAGTAATTCATCCCCCATATAGTAATTCATCCCCCATATAGTAATTCATCCCCCATAGTAATTCATCCCCCATATAGTAATTCACCCCCATATAGTAATTCATCCCCCATAGTAATTCATCCCCCATAGTAATTCATCCCCCATATAGTAATTCACCCCCCATAGTAATTAATCCCCCATATAGTAATTCATCCCCCATATAGTAATTCATCCCCCATAGTAATTCATCCCCCATATAGTAATTCATCCCCCATAGTAATTAATCCCCCATATAGTAATTCATCCCCCATATAGTAATTCATCCCCCATAGTAATTCATCCCCCATAGTAATTCATTCCCCATATAGTAATTCATCCCCCATAGTAATTCATCCCCCATATAGTAATTCATCCCCCATAGTAATTCATCCCCCATATAGTAATTCATCCCCCATATAGTAATTCATCCCCCATAGTAATTCACCCCCCTATAGTAATTAATCCCCCATATAGTAATTCATCCCCCATATAGTAATTCATCCCTACAGTAATTAATCCCCCATATAGTAATTCATCCCCCATATAGTAATTCATCCCCATATAGGAATTCATCCCCCATAGTAATTCATCCCCCCTATAGTAATTAATCCCTCATATAGTAATTCATCCCCCATATAGTAATTCATCCCCCATATAGTAATTCATCCCCCATATAGTAATTCATCCCCCCTATAGTAATTCATCCCCCATAGTAATTCATCCCCCCTATAGTAATTCATCCCCCATATAGTAATTCATCCCCCATAGTAATTCATCCCCCATATAGTAATTCATCCCCCATATAGTAATTCATCCCCCATAGTAATTCATCCCCCATATAGTAATTCATCCCCCATATAGTAATTCATCCCCCATATAGTAATTCATCCCCCATAGTAATTAATCCCCCATATAGTAATTCATCCCCCATATAGTAATTCATCCCCCTATAGTAATTCATCCCCCATATAGTAATTCATCCCCCATAGTAATTCATCCCCCATATAGTAATTCATCCCCCCTATAGTAATTCATTCCCCATATAGTAATTCATCCCCCATAGTAATTCATCCCCCATATAGTAATTAATCCCCCACATAGTAATTCATCCCCCATATAGTAATTCATCCCCCATAGTAATTCATCCCCCATATAGTAATTCATCCCCCCTATAGTAATTCATTCCCCATATTGTGTCAATTCACTTACCTTTGCTTCGCGCGTTCCTCTCGCCGTGTTCCCGCGCCGTTCTGGTCTTCAGGGCGGACTGTGAGAGGAGAGGAGTTTGTCACGCTGCCCCGCCTACATCCTGGCTGCCCCGCCTACATCCTGACAGCCAATGTTTGCCACGCTCTGCGGGCCGGATTAAAAGGTCCGCCGGGCCGTAGTTTGCCCATTGCTGGGCTAGCTGCAGAGTCCTGACTTTTGGGGCGGCCGCCCGAGAGGAGGGAGAAGAGCGGGCGCCCGGCACACAGAAAAGCCGCATTAAAGTGCGTAAAGAGCCACATGTGGCTCGTGAGCCGCGGCTTGCCGACCACTGCACTAAGTAGTTGCGATGATATGAATAGTTTTGCCAACACATGTCAAAGTTGCAAACCTTTGTTCCGGCGTTAGGATTTGTTTTACGTTCGTCATGAAGGGGTTAAAGATCTGTTCTTACAAGGGATTTTCATAAGGACAGCAATGGTGCTCTGTTGTGGTGACAGGGACTCTTTATACACATGATCTCATCTTTTCTCTTTTCAGATATCAAGGCCACGTCGGTGCATCGATCATCACTGCAGGGGTGGATGTGCAAGGCCCCCATCTGTACAGCGTCCATCCACATGGATCCACAAGCAAAATTCCGTTCACAGCTCTAGGTGAACTAAATGGCAATGAATAGTGGTATACAGTACCTGTATACAAAGGCCAGAGCTCAGCCAATCTGATATCAGGTTCAATGGTGGGTGTGTGAGTAGAATTTGCTGAAAGCAATCATTAAACCAAAGAACAAAAATGGCCAAATGGCCATAGCACACATGAAGGGAAAAAACGTTTATAGAGTAAAATACCTTCCCTGTATTTGTGTGTGTGAGTATCGATAGATAGATAGATAGATATAGATAGATAGATAGATAGATAGATAGATAGATAGATAGATAGATAGATAGATAGAGATAGAGAGAGAGAGAGAGAGAGAGATAGATAGATAGATAGATAGATAGATAGATAGATAGATAGATAGATAGATAGATAGATAGATGGATAGATAGATGTGGATGGATAGATAGATAGATAGATAGATAGATAGATAGATAGATAGATAGATAGATAGATGGATAGATGGATAAATAGATAGATGGATGTGGATAGATAGATGGATGTGGATAGATAGATGGATAGATGGATGTGGATAGATGGATAGATAGATAGATGTGGATAGATAGATAGATAGATAGATAGATAGATAGATAGATAGATAGATAGATAGATGTAGATAGATAGATAGATAGATGTAGATAGATAGATAGATAGATAGATAGATAGATAGATAGATAGATAGATAGATGTAGATAGATAGATAGATAGATAGATAGATAGATAGATAGATAGATAGATAGATGTGGATAGATAGATGGATAGATGGAGATAGATAGATAGATGGATGGATAGATGGATAAATAGATAGATGGATAGATGGATGTGGATAGATAGATGGATGTGGATAGATAGATGGATAGATGGATGTGGATAGATAGATGGATGGATAGATGGAGATAGATAGATGTAGATATATGTAGATAGATAGATGGATAGATAGATAGATAGATAGATAGATAGATAGATAGATAGATAGATAGATAGAGATAGATAGATAGATAGATAGATAGATAGATAGATAGATAGATAGATAGATAGATAGATAGATAGATAGATAGATAGATAGATAGATAGATGTAGATAGATAGATAGATGTAGATAGATAGATGTAGATAGATAGATAGATAGATAGATAGATAGATAGATAGATAGATAGATAGACAGCTTTCTAGTTTTATGTATGGGGTTGTAGCTTTACAGCTTTTCAGTACAGAGTTATTAAGGGCTCGTTCAGATTTCCACATTACAGTACAACTCAGTAAAATGTGAGTCCTATCGTGCCTTAAGCTGGCCATACATTATACCATTTTCTTGTTTAATTTTCTTTACATTTACCTTCATTGCATACAAATTGAAGTGTTTAGGTTTGACCTCACATTATATGGTTTTGGTAAATCTAAAGTAAAATTGTACAACATATGGCCAGCCTTACTGTAACCCATAGCAAAGTGCAAAGTGTGGTGTAGTGTGTTTTAGTGCGTTTCATTTGGAAGGTCATCCTAACACACTAGTCCAATGCACAGTTGCTACGCAAGTTGACCAACAGGATAACGCACGGTAAGGTGTGTTTGATAACGTACTGTAACAGAGTGTAGACATCTAAATGTGCCCATAATATTACGTTGCTATGGCTGTCCCGCTGTTATGATGCTCTCTGTGTTGTTTTAGGATCTGGCCAAGCTGCAGCAGTCGCTGTATTAGAAGATGGATTTAAACCCAACATGACGGTAAGAATCCAAGTGTCATTAAAGTGTATGTAAACCACTTCTGTAAATGGACTTCTCTTGTTTGTCTAGCTTTGCAAATACACAATTGAGTTCTAGATAAACAAAGGGGGTAAAACGAGCGCTGGATGATATTAGAACAGGATATAAGCAGCTGGCATGAAAGGCAAACCTCAAAAACGCCTCATAAGATAACAGTCACAAAGAGAAAAGCATGCAGCGCTAGAATATTGAGATTACCTCGCAATGCAATATGACCACCTCAATGGAGATAAACGCAGCTAGCATATAAGTACTGGTGTGTAAAACCCGTACTAGAACATACTCTTAGTCAAAAAAAGGTATACATGGTGACAGTGGTGTCAAAGTCAATATATCAATGGAGTAACATAAGGAAATCTGTGACTTTTGTGGTAGGAAGTGTGGCTGTAGAATGCACTAACCAGATAGCGCATTGGAGGAAAATGACCTATACTTCTGGTCACTGGATAAGGAACTCTGCCGGAGTGTTGGTCGTCTCTGCTGCAGTCACCAGAATCATCTGTATCTGTATCAGATGTCTTGCAAATTGCACCTGAAATCGGCATGTCACCCGACTTTGAAATCGTGCGACTTCTCTGTAAGTCACACAATTTCAAAGTAGTGTTTGATGTGAACGGGGTGTAAAAGTGCTGAATTTCTAAAGCTTGAATGACAGTTCAGAAAAAAGGGGGCAAAGAGCTGAAATTATGAACTCAAAATTAAAAGAATATATCCCGTGCCACCTATGTGTATTAAGTGAACCTATGTGCTACAAAACAAATATATTATCCTGTAAAAAAAACTGTTTGAAGGGTGGCTGCAAACAATAAAGTGTTCCCACAATAAATATGATAATCCAAACAATGTGTAATGCTGCGACTCCCTAAAAAAATGCCTTATAAGAAAACCAACAGCACATCAGGCGTTAAATTAATTATCAACAATATGCAAACTTTCCCTTGCACCAAATATCATATAATGTGCACTATTCATATATAATGCTTATTATTTATCTTCCTTAAAAAATGTGCTGCTTTATTATCTTCCATGATGACCGTATAATATAGTGAACCACCTCCTATGACGTTGTGAGCATGCACACCATGTATCCACCACCATTCAATCCTGCTCTCACCTCCACTTTTTGACCTGTCCTCTTACAGGTCAAAATCGCTTGTTTCCCATTTATGGGGGTTCTTTAATCACCTCTTCTCCTCCTTATGGGCTCCCCTCAGTTGTAATTTTCCATCCCAGGATTGTTCACTTGTATACTATTTCCAGGTGTCTGGCCCTTTAAAAATGGAGGTGATTAAAGGACCCCCCCCATAAAAGGAAACAAACAATTTTGATCTGTAAGAGGACAGGTCAAAAAGTCGAGGACGTGCAGCACATTTTTAAAGGGCCAGACACCTGGAAATAGTTCCTCCAGTTAGGTCCATATATATTTGGACACAGGCACAATTTTAGTTTTTAAAGGTATTTACCAAATCATATTCAATCTATAGTTATATAATGGATATAGGCTGAATGTGCACACTCTCAGGTTTAATTTGAGTGTATGCACATCCAACTTGGAGGAAGGGTTTAGGAAGTAAAGCTCTTAAAAGTAGCCATCCCCATTTTTCAAGGGACCAAAAGTAATTGGACAATTGAAACATAATCAGCAAGTGAAATGCATGCTCAATTGGGTTGGGATCGGGTGATTGACAGAATATTCCACTTCCTTTCCTTCAAAAGCTCCTGGGTTGCTTTTGCAGTGTGTCTTGGATCATTGTCCATTTGTACTGTGTGGCTGTCTATTGTTGCTGGGGACATCCATTGTTGATGCTGGGGATCTATTGTTGCTGGGAGGTCAATTGTTGCTAGAAGGGATCTACTGTTGAGTTAGAGGTCTATGATTTCTGGCTGCTGGGGGTCTATTGTTGCTGGGAGGTCAATTGTTGCTAGAAGGGATCTACTGTTGAGTTAGAGGTCTATGATTTCTGGCTGCTGGGGGTCTATTTTTGCTAGGGGTGGAATCTATTGTTGCTGGGGGAATATATTGTTGCTGCGGAGGGTGTATTGCTACTGGCTGTGGGGGATCGATTTTGCTGCTTTTCTTATCATTAACAAATTCCATACAAAATACTTAGCACCACAAAATGATACTTGGCTCTATATTCTCTAAAAGGGGTGGTACTTGGAGGTGGGCAGAGGGTGGAACCAAGGGACGGTGCTCAGAGGTGGGTAGTGGGTGGAGACAAGAAGTGACTCAGGAAGGGTTCCTGCACCCTGGTGATATGCCAATGTGATGTATATTAGCATACCTCCCAACTTTCTGAGATGGGAATCAGGAATACCTAATAGCAAAAGTATGTAGGAATAGGACACACCGACTGTCACGCCCCCCTTAAAGGAGAATTGTACAAAAAAAGATAAGTTAAACCAAAAAGTGCATTTTACAACTACTATTTCTGTAAATTGCCTTTTGAAGTTTACAAATGCAAAAATTTAGAAATTGGATGAAAGGTTTAGCACTGTGAAACACTTTTTGATAGCTAAGTAGTGCATTTTATTTACAACTAGAGAGATCAGACCAAAATGAGGGACAAATGAGGAGGAAAGAGGGCCAGAGGGACTTTGTTCCAAATGAGGGACAGTCCCTTGAAATCAGGGACAGTTGGGGTCCGATTTTCGCACCGTTAGTGGGTTCATTGGTTAGCGTTTTTTTTCGGGGTTTTTGCACATTTTTTTTATCGGGCATGTTGGAAAATTCGTGGCCAATTTTGACGATTGGCAGATTTTCCTGGCAATGATGGGCAGATCGACCGATCGTTTTACCGATAAAAAATCTGCGCATGAGCCATGACCTGCAAGAAGAAGAAAAAAGAAGAAAAAGAATTCCAGTCCGCTATTATATTTTATATGAAAAAGTCTTGTGGTTGCAACAAATGTATCCATTTGTATCCATATAAAAACATCTGTATCCAAATAAAGACATTGTAATCCAAATAATGTATTACAATGTTTTTATTTGGATACAAATGGATACATTTGTTGCAACCGCAAGACTTTTTCATATAAAATATAATAGCGGACTGGAATTCTTCTTCTTATTCTTATTATTCTTCTTTTCTTATTCTTCTTTGTATGGTGTGCTCCCCTGTCTCTGCAAGGGACAGATGTTATGGGGTTAATGCCGGCCGTAGACGGCTTAATTCCGGCCATAGACAGGACGAAAATCGGCCGATTTTTTATAACGTTCGTGGTAACGTCGGCCGTTTCGAACGACCGATTTTTCAGGTTTTTTTTTTTTTTTTAAATCGTCCGATTTTCGACCCGTCTATGGCCTGCATATGTGTTAGTACTATGTAAGCTGGAGAAATAACATTTTATCGCCTCTATCTCTATCTAGCTGGAAGAGGGAAAGAAGCTGGTGACGGATTCCATAACAGCCGGCATCACCTGCGACCTCGATCTGGAAGTGGGGTGGATCTGTGTGTGATTACACGAGAAGGAGGAAAAATACTGAGAGGATACACTGATACAGAGACCAAAGGAAAGAGGTAATACTCCACAGTATAGGTGGCCATACAATCTCCACTCCTGATTTTTTTTTTCCCTACTGAACAGTCATTCAGATATAAGACCAAGCAATTTCTGGCACATTTTGTTTACAAGTGTATATCAGTATTTTTTTTGGTAGAAAGTTACTTATAACCCCCAAATACCATATATATTTTTTAGCAAATACCCTAGAGAATGAAATGGCTATGGTTTCAATTTTTTATGACACATGGTATTCTCGCAGTTTTTTAACCACTTCAAGTCCGGACACTTTTACCCCCAAGCCAATTCCTGTCCAGGCCAATTTTCAGCTTTCAGCGCTGTCACACTTTGAATGACAATTGCGCAGTCATGCAACACTGTACCTATATGAATTTTTTAGCATTTTTTTGAGAGTGGTATTTATTCACCACTGGGATTTTTTTTTATTTTTTTTGCTACATAAATAAAAAAGTCCAAACATTTTGAAAAACAGTGTTTTTCTTATAAAATTTTGCAAATAAATCTTGCTTCATAATCTTTCTCTTTAAATCTTGACCAAAATTTATTCAGTTATCTTTTTAGTAAAAACAATAACTCAAATTAGTTTATAACCAAAAATTATACATTTTCAAAACTTTTTTTTACATTTTTTTTTTATATTATTATTTATGTTTTTTTTTAACATACTGTCACCCTAGCAGTACAGAGTCACCATAGTGACACTGTAGTACTTCTGGGGGGTGATGAAGATTTTTTTTTTTTTTACACTGATTGCTTTTACACCCATAAAGGCTGTAAAAGCAATAATTTCTCTTTCTCTCTGGCTGCATTCTTGAAGCCATTAAGAAAACACTGTGAGAGCTGTGATTGGTCTCAGCTTGTCACATTGTACAAGGCTGTTGTGAATAGCCTTGTACCATGTGACCTCTGTGATCATTCACAGATTTCACAAGTAGTAAGCAATGATGTTAGAAGTGACATCTTGCTTACTACTATTCATGTGATCACTGATTGGCCAATCAGTGATCACATGATCAGGACCTCACACAGAGGTCCCATACAGCGATCGGTGTTCTGTTTTTGGAAAAAATACACTTTAATGACTTAAAAGAACAAAATGCAGTTTTGTTTGTAAAATATGAAAGAGGATGTTATGGCAAGTAAGTAGATACCTGACGTGTCAAGCTTTAAAATTGCGCACGTGGAATGGTGACAAACTATGGTACTCTCCATATGCTTTGCTTTAAAAATTCTCATAGGTCACCTGTTTAGAGTTACAGAGGAGGTCTACGGCTAGAATTATCGCTCTTGCTCTAATGTTCATTGCGATACCTCACGTGTGTTGCGAACCCAATTTACATATGCTTGCGTATGCGTTCACTTCTGTGCGTGAGCACTTAGGGATGGGGTCACTTTAATTTTTTTCTTATTTTATTTTTTAAAATGTTTCTTTATTTTTTTTCTTTGATCACTATTATTCCTATTAA